ATTGGCCGACCGTCGTGGCGTCGTTGTACCTAAGGCGGGAAGGGCGCCTTCCCGTTCCTGGCATGCGGACGAGAGTTCACTTCACACCAAATGTGCAAACGCCGTGCCTGTGGCTGGGCCGAAAATGGGAAGGGTTTTCCTTTCCTTTATTCCACTGCACTTGCAACAATACACTTGGGCCAAGGCCTCACTCAGAGGCCATATACACTGCCTTCGGTGCTTTTCTTGTGTTGCATTCTGTTTAGTTACCGTAGAGGATCTGAAGGTCACGTGTTCGATCCACGTTCACCGCAGTTTGTTTTAGCATACGAAGGGCATGGTGCTTGGCTTGTTCTTCTAAGTAGAATAGCAAAGTCAATTTTCTCGGTGCTACTAAATTTTTTACAGGGCTTTCTTGTACGCTGCTAAAAACCAATTCACTTGTATATATATTACACCCTCCATTCCAAAGTATAAGACGTTTTGAGTTTTTAAATACATTGCTTTTACAATGTATCTAGATACAATGTATATCTAAGTGTATAATAAAAGCTACGTATATAGAAAATACAAAATACCTTATAATTTAAAATAGATGAAGTACTTTACTTCAATTTTAATTTTGTACCTTAATGCCTTTCTTGTGTTAGATTCAGTTTAGTTTTTTTTACAGGACATAGGGAGAGGCACTGTCATATTTTGAAATAGCACTTCCCCCTATTTAGACGAATGAAATATCCATTGTAAACTTATCCTCCCCATGAGCTCAATCATCACCATGTTTACTCTCGCTCACACCCACTGAATCCTTGGTGGGTAGCTCACACAAGGTAAAGCTTGGTGTCGCACCCGGTTTTAAGAACAAAATCAGATACGCACCATATGTGAGCCCAGAAAGTCAAACCTCACATATAGCTACAAATAAGGGTAATATCAATAGACAATGCTTAAATATATAACATATTAGTATAAAGAATATAATCTCAGATAGCAAACAGCGGAAAGACAACTCCGATCCTCGGGTGAAGACTCCAAATCCACAGGGACAACTGACTGGTTGATCACAAGACTAATTCCTCAAAACTCTAGGAATCTAGTACCCATGCAGGATTTTCCAAATATGTGTAAAATAAAGCAAGCGTAAATACATGTCGTACTCAACAAATATAACATGGGGTTCATGAGGCTCAAAAGGCTGACACTAGTTTAACTGAGATTAGCTTTTAATGAGTCATCTTTTAGCAATTGAGTAGCAACAAATGTATCACAAGCCCGTAAATACATGATCAGGTAAACATGAATAATGAATAGCATAAACAGTAATAATTAGTGAGCATTCTCATCATCAGTATAATATGTGTTCATCATCTATTCCGTAAAGGTTTCAAGGCCGCTCGTGACCGTGAGCATGACTGTTGTAACAGTTTTACACTCTGCAGAAGTTGTACACTTTCACCATGAGTCGTGATTTACCCTTTCGCCCGAGGCGGCCAACCTCTTGACCCACTACCAAGGAAGGTCGGCAGGGTTCACTACGAAGCTTTTCCCCAGTCGTTCTAATAAGGAGCAGCCACTAAGGATTCCATCTCCCAAGTGTTATGGAGTCATCTCCAAAAGTGGCACTGATACACGCAGCATAGTACACACCCTGGGGATGAGGCCCATACCCAGCCCGATATGCCCCTCTTGCCCTTTCGATAAGCTGCTACAAACTAGAAAGAGCAAGGTACTAGACTAAGACCAGAGCCATGTAGTCTTCATGATTGTACTGTGAGTCCCGGATAATCACTTACAGATAAGTCCTTAGGGAGAGGAATCTGGAGCATTTAGAAAGTAGCTAAACACTCCAGCCCCCTGTTTCCAAGTTGCTAAAAAGTCATATTTTAATGTTTATTGCATATACCATTAGTCAAGTTATAAGATCATGGTTGTAGTTGAGCACTAGCAAAGCTACCCAATGCAATACCCCATAGGAATCAAGGTACAAGTATAAAAGACTATGATATCCTTAGTGGTAGTTAAGGTAGACACATGCAGTATGAATTAAATGATTAAAGGTGTATAGGACAACAAAGAAGATCCCATGCTATACTTGCCTTAAAACACCGATCCTTCGGTAAGCTTTAATCTTCAACGTTCTTCTTCTTCTTGATCAACGCGTATATCTCACTGACTGGACATGATCATAAAGCACCACACAAGCATCTATACAATCATACACGAAGCAAACAATAGAACAAAATCAGAAACAGTATACCAATCAGAGAAAAATAAGTAAAAGAGTTTGAAACACGATTCTACGCATCGCTACGAACACACAGTCGCAAGAAGCACGCTAATCGGAGCTACGGTTTGAAAAAGATACATCTACCGAAAGATCTACTCATAAAACCATTAGCTTCATGTGTTTTAATGGTATAAAAACATATATAAGATATTCTATAGATAATATAAATTAATTTAAATTTAAGTTTGAAATAAAATACTAAAGTAAAACAAATCATATTTTATTTATAAAATCCAGTTGCATAATTATTATTCAAATTAGAGTTTAAACCATAAAATTTCAGAAATAGTGACATGGTAACCACTGTTACTAACACGTAGTTCTCGTTGCTATGAATCTAACGCAACTTGAATGGGTCAAAACGGATCTAAAACGCAAAAAATACGAAATAAACAAGACTTTCTTTATTAAAATGCGAATTGTGATGCAAATGCGAACGACCTTTTCTCCTTTCAAATGCTCAAGCCATCTCCCATGTGACGACTGGGGTTATTGTGTCACAGCTCGCAACCACCACTCAACCTGCATCGTCCTCCAGTCACCATCAGGCGAGGAATATCACCTCGTGCTGCTCAATCCGATGCGCTTTTGTCGCTTAATCAGTTGGGCGCATAGGTAACCAAATGATGACTTATGAGCATGTTTGGTTGGCTGGTTCATTTTGTGGCTGGTTCGTGAAGAAGTACCGCTGGCTGGTTTATGTGAAAGAAAAATATTGTTCCGGCTGAAATTTACAATCGTTTACGACAGAACCTAGAGCCTGTATATCTAAACCATTGAATAATCCGTCGGAGTCCCGGAGACGATGCTCCAATAATAGGCCTGTAGCCTGGCCCTTTTTATTCCTGATACAAACGACAAGCTTGATTGGAAAATTCGATGCATGATGCCTCAGATGGCCATTTGGCTTTCCTGCGCTTGTTTGTTCCCATGATCCCATCGAAGAATCTCACACTGCCGGAACCAGAATTTTGGAGCTCTGACTTCGTAGTTCGCAGGGATAGGGTTCCTGCGCTGATGTACCGTACTACTGTACTAAGCCTCTCTTGAAAAAGGCGATGCTTAGCTCTGTCTAGGCGCTAGGCAATATTAATACTGCAGCAGATCGTGTCTAGCTCATACTTGACCCGTTTCTAAATTATACTAGCTTATTTTAGTTTTATTCTAAATCAGGTTTCTCTAGTTTTGACTATGTTTTTAGAAAAATAGATTAACATCTACAACAAGCTCAAATAGATGTACCACATATGTACCAGGGGCGGAGCCGGCCTTGTTCATTGCTGTCACCTAATAACAATGATTGGTTCCGCTTTATTGTTCAAACTTGAAAAACACTGCTTTCCTGAATTGAATTGTTGTGAGAGAGAAAACACCTAATTGAGAGGGGAGCGGTGATTTGGTCTTTCCGCACCAGAAATAACGTGACCTATGATTTCCATTGTAAATTGATGCTCATATGTGAAGTTAAGCCACGGTGTAGCAGAGATGACGCATCAATGATTTCTCAAATAAAAAAAAAGAGGTGATATCGATGAAATGTCTGGCTAGATCCGCCCTTGTCGACGTGGATGTCATAGATTGAAAAAAAAATTGGTACAAACTATACCAATCCCTAGATACATGCCATGGATAGTTGTCACGTGTCCAGTTAACATGATCCAACAGCGCATGGTGGAGGCAGAAAAAGAGCAGACGTGGGAGGCCACAGAAGCCACATGCAGAACCTACGAGGAAATCTTCTTAGGCGCACTGTTGGATCGAGTTCACAGCACACGTGACGACTATCTATGAAATGTATGCAGGAGGCACGATGGGTACTGTTTGCACCGAATTTTTCCCCATAGATTTCGATCGTCGAATGCTATGCATTGTGTCTACGACGCGCCTTGGCAATTGGCGTGACATGTCCTGCGCCTCCTGCTTTGGGGTGTCAGTTTGCTTCTTCCGTAAGCAGTTCCGGCACTCACGCTGTTGCTGCCCGATGAGTTCAATTTAGGCGTTACATCTGATCTCCTTGTCAATTTATACGACAGAGCTTTCTTCCTTACGAGAGCGCGCCATGGCCGAGCCTTGGGACGTCAGTCGTTGCGCCTAGCCGGTACACACAGCTCGAGCGGCCGGGACGTTGATGGATCGGAGTATAGTACTTGCGTGCTGTGTGTCTGCCGTGGAGCACTTGCACTTCTGTTTCGGCACTTGCGCGCAGAAAAACTAACGCCAGCACCGAGCTGAGCTGAGTCTCCTAAAGCAAGCAAGCTGCATCTCAACATAGAAACTAACAATATGCCTCCGGCCGGCATCTTGTAAGCACGGGTTTTGTCCCGTCACACGCTCGCGTATAAATGGCACTGGCACCATATATAATATCCCGAACACCTCACTGGTTCGCTGCAGGAGCGAACAACTAGACTAGTGCACTCGCTGCGCGCCGCGCGTATGTGCATGTACGGTTCGTCGCCACCACTACCACCATGGAGATGCTGAGCCGAGGTCTGCATGGCATGGCGAGCCCCGACGCCACCCCCTACTTCTCGGGCGCGTCCTCGCGGCGCCGCAGCGGGGCCGACGAGGTGGACGACGAGGAGGCGCTGCAGTGGGCCGCGATGGAGCGGCTGCCGTCCTTCGAGCGCCTGCGCACGGGCCTCATGATGGCGGCGGCGGACGCCTCCGCCGACGGCGGCAGCGGCCGCGGTCGGAGGCGGCGGTTCGCGCAGAGGAGGTGGACGTGCGCACGATGGGGCTGGCGCAGCGCCAGGCCTTCGTGGACCGCGTGTTCCGCGTCGCCGAGGAGGACAACGAGCGCTTCCTCAAGAAGCTCCGCGCGCGGATCGACCGCGCCGGCATCCAGATCCCCACGGTGGAGGTGAGGTTCCGGGACCTCAACGTGGAGGCGGAGTGCCACGTCGGCACCCGCGCGTTGCCCTCGCTGGACGTGGCCGAGGGGCTGCTGGGACGCGTCGGGGTCAAGCTCGGCAAGAGGAGGACGCTCCACATCCTCAAGGGCGTCTCCGGCGTCGTCAGGCCGTCCAGGATGACGCTCCTGCTTGGCCCACCGTCTTCCGGCAAGACGACGCTGCTACTGGCCCTGACCGGCAAATTGGACCCCACTCTTGAGGTGGGGAACGAAGTTTTCTCGATCGTTCGATCCTTGTGTACATGCATGTTGGCAACAAAACCGACCGATCGATCGAGAGCACAGATTGGTCTCGACGAATCCATGCATATCCATCGTTCGGCTGTGTGCTTACGTCCTGACGGCGCGTGCAGGTGAGCGGGGAGGTGACCTACAACGGGTACGGGCTGGACGAGTTCGTGCCGCAGAAGACGGCGGCGTACATCAGCCAGAACGACGTCCACGACGGCGAGTTGACCGTGAAGGAGATCCTCGACTTCTCCTCGAGGTGCCAGGGTGTGGGCCAGAGATACGGTGAGCGTCGATCCAGCTTGTCTCTTGCTTTCTTCTGATAATACTAACTTCTGATAACACCTTCATGAACAAAGAGTGTCAGAGAAATGTTTAACACTAAAGTGAAATAAATAATAATAATCTTCTTGCCGCACGCAGAGCTGCTCAAGGAGCTGGCGAAGAAGGAGAGGCAGCAGGGGATATATCCCGACCTGGAAGTCGACCTGTTCATGAAGGTGTGCACGCCTTCACTCCCGTACTCCGTCTTGGTATAGATGGAGTACGCTTCGACTTTGTGTTGCACACACCGTTCTTTATTCCTTTTACAATGACAATTTGTAGGCAACTTCAGTTCATGGAGCCACTCTGCAGACGGACTACATTCTCAGGGTAAAGCCCCGAACCAAACCTGTATAGCTTCATTTCTTTCTTTCTTTTTCGTGTGGTCATCAGACGGAAAAATTGGTCCATAGTTAGTGACGAACCAAATAACCAATTGTTTTGAAAAAAGGAAGTATTTTATTTGGCTACAAAAACAATTTCAAAGGAAATTGTAAAGGAAAAGGAAAAAGAAAAATATAAGGGGGAACCAAGCCGGCCCGAATGCTTTTTTGGGCCCGCATACTTGGGCCTTGCAAGAGCCCTTTGTCCGTCCCGAAAAGCCCTCCGTTTCGCCCCTTCCACGGCAACAGCCTCGACACCTCCTTGTCCGTCGAGCGTCGACAGGGCGAGTAGGCTAGGAAGAGCAGGCGAGGTGTTCGCTTGCTTGCCACACTCACAAGACGGGGGCTCGCATCGCATTCCTGGCTTCTCTAGCAAAAATCAGACCAATTTGGCGATGTCCGCGGTTGTGATGCTGATGCCATTGCCGCCGCTGGTGCGTGCAGATCCTCGGGCTGGACATGTGCGCGGATATCCTCGTCGGCAACGAGCTAATGCGCGGCATCTCCGGCGGGCAGAAGAAGCGCCTCACCACAGGTACCCCCCGCGCCCTCTTCTTCATCAGCCTCAAATCCGTCCGCGCGTCTGCTCGCGTTGCCTCCGTTCCGTTGCTACAACCGCGCGTGTTTGGTTTCACGGGAGATGCTGGTCGGCCCGACCAAGGTGCTGTTCATGGACGAGATCTCCACGGGCCTCGACAGCTCCACCACCTTCCAGATTGTCAAGTGCATCCAGCAGATCGTCCACATGGGCGAGGCCACCGTCCTGACCTCGCTGCTCCAGCCCACGCCGGAGGTCTTCGAACTGTTTGACGACGTCATGCTGCTGTCCGAGGGGCAGATCGTCTACCAGGGGCCCCGGGAGTACGTGCTTGAGTTCTTCGAGAGGTGTGGCTTCCGGTGCCCGCAGAGGAAAGGTGTCCCTGATTTCCTTCAGGAGGTTTGTTACTTCGTGGCAGAAAACTTCCTAGTACATATTTTTCCAACATTATTTCGCAAACATGACATGCTTTTGTAATGAAGTCAACAGAACTGTATAAATCAACATCTAGAGGGCTTCTTTATTTGAAAATTTGCTATGCCTCATGTGTTGTTTACTAATAGCCAGTAGATTTAGCACATTTAGCCTACTTTTTAGAGTTACTAGAAAGACCAACTTCTTATAGTTTGTAAAGCTTTTTCATACATCTAGTTTCCTTCTTGGTGAACCGACATATGTTAAAAAAGTATGTTGTTTCAGAAAGTGTGTAGTGAAACTTCTATAATATGAAGATGGACCACCATGTCACTAATAGGAAAGAAATATTGGATTGGTCACGTGAGATTGTACCATTAGGTTTATCAGGAAAACTTAATGATTTTTTTTTCATTCTTTCAACTGGCACATTCAAGTACAGAATAAACAGCATATTGCTTTTGATCAGGTTACATCAAAGAAAGATCAGGAACAGTACTGGATACAGAATGAAAAACCATATCACTATGTATCAGTAACTGAATTTGTTGCAAAGTTCAAGAAATTTCATATGGGGAAGAGCCTCAGAAAACAACTTTCGGTTCCTTTCCACAAGAGAAAAATACACAAATCTGCTTTGGTCTTCTCTGAAAAGTCTGTCTCTACTTTGGAGCTTCTCAAGGCCTCATGGTCCAAGGAATGGCTTCTCATGAAGAGGAATTCATTTGTGTACGTCTTTAAAACAGTTCAGGTACCTAAAAGGCCAGTCCCTATTCTAAACTGTCTCCCTTTGATGTGAGCTTAACATCTTTGTCTTCCTATGGTAGAGTACTTAACAAGGATATAGTTCTTTGTCTGATCATATTCCTTTCTTTTGAAGGGAACTTTTGTTGCACTAGTAGCCTCAACGGTGTTCTTGCGAACACACATGCATACAAGTACTGAGGAAGACAGGCAAATCTATAGAGCACTTCTTTATGTCATGATAGTTAACATGTTCAATGGTTTTGCTGAGTCATCTATTATTTTGGCAAGACTCCCTGTAGTCTACAAACATAGGGATTTTTTGTTCTATAAACCATGGACTATTGTACTTCCGAATGTTCTGTTGAGAGTTCCTGCCTCCATATTCGAGTCAATAGTTTGGGTAGCTATAACTTACTACAGCATTGGCTTTGCCCCAGAAGCTAGCAGGTGCGCCATTATTATAACTTTCTCCAGTAAATAAAATTGTATATACATTGAAATTTTACATTTCCTCCCTGAACAAATCAGCAACAATTTATCTTTCCACAGGTTCTTCAAACATTTAGTTCTTGTCTTCTTTATCCAGCAGATGGCTGCAGGACTCTTCAGATTTGTCTCTGGCTTATGCAGAACAGTTATCATAACTAACTCAGCAGGGTCACTTGCAGTCCTTTTCATGTTTACACTAGGAGGATTCATCCTACCAAAAGGTAATCATCCATGATCCCCATTCTCCTTTACTATGTAGTTGGACATAGTTTGGGTGCTTTCCTCAGTTTCATGGTAGTATGATTTGATAAATATTGTTATTCCCAGATATAAAGGGTTTGAAACTCACAGTTGAGTGCTAAAAAAACTTCAGCATAAACAATGGGAACTGAGAGGTCTCAAAATCAGCAAATCATTTGTTGTTTTATGAAAGAGCTCACACAAAGAAACATGATTTGTTGATTAATAATCTTTCTATACTGACACTTCTGTGTTGAATCTTACTGTGGAAGTGACATCACTTAACTGTTGTTCATTGTTATAGATGCAATTTCAAAATGGCTGATATGGGGCTATTATTGTTCACCTCTTATGCATACACCGCTCTTGCCTCTAATGAAATGCACTCTCCAAGGTGGATGGACATATTTGTAAGTTAACTCGTGATCATACTATTGTTGTGTTCTCATACAAAGTTGTTTTTGACTTACTTCTTTTGAATCAATAGGCACCTGATGGTAGGAGATTGGGAGTGGCAGTTTTAGAAAACTCAAGTATCCCCACCAACAAGGAATGGTACTGGATTGCTATGGGTGCACTTTTAGGTTTCACTGTTCTATTCAATGTGTTATTCACACTGTCACTTATGTACCTAAATCGTAAGTATCTATTCTACACATTAATAATATGTTACATGCAGTCTGCTCCTTTATTTTCTTAATCCGTATTGTTCTTGTCTATGCTAAACTAATGCTTTCATTGAGTCAAAACTTGGTCCTTTGATATTGGTATCTTACTAGACTGATTATTCTGCTCCTTGAATTAGCTGTTGGAAAACCACAGTCAGTTCTGCCTGAAGAAACTGATACAAGTCTAGAGGAAGGAAAGATGTCAGATATAACACAGGGAACAAAAATCCCGACACCAGAACCGTTATCCTCAAATTCTATGATCACATGTAAGATTGTTTCCATCTGTTTCTTTTTCATTCTTCCTTTATGTTTGAAAAAAGGGGTAGGCTACTTTACCTTTAATTCACATTCTACTAATGTTTTAAATTGTTTTAGTGGATAAGGTACTTGAACAGTTACGTGGTCAGTCCCCGAATACTTCTGATAGGTCACACATGAATGCTTCTATCAGAATTCATCCAAGAAGAGGGATGATTCTTCCATTCGAACCCCTCTCCATGTCCTTCAGCGAGATAAATTACTATGTTGACATGCCTGCAGTATGTTGCCTGTCCATATATTGCTTTTTTCCACCGCTGCATTTCCATGTCATTTTCCATTATTATATCAATGACCATTAGCCTTCCATTATAATTATCTACTCTCTCCAATTGCAAATGGAACTTGTTTTAGGATGTGTTGGTCAAGCCTTTAAATTTTAACCATCACTATATATATAAACGGTTTGTAGATTGAGAATATTTGAAATAACTAATTTCAACATTGAAAAGATGCTCACAACATATAACTATTATTTTGAAATAACATAACTTCGTATACTCTCCTGCGTGTTCGAGAAAGGAAAAAAATAACTTCATATAAATCACTATCCATTAGTCAAAGTGTCATATTGGATACCAAGTCAATGTCCTGAATGGCTTGCATCTGCTATAATAAGGGCCTGTGAGGTAATTTAAGTAGACCACAATATATCTGGAAAACTAGATCGGAGTATGAATTTCTTCATTATGTTATTTTTTAATAATGCCATTTTTGTGTTGGTGGCTTTTAAGTTTTATCAGCTATTGCATGAATCTAAGCATTAGGTTTGTCAAGATTTCAGATTGGGACTATTGAGTTAATAGATTTCTAGAAAAGCTCTTGATTATGCTGATGCATATCTTGCAAACATGGCATGTTATTTTATGAGTTATTTGGGCATTGCGGTGGGTATATCTTATTTTCAGTTTGTTAATATGTCAGGAGATGAAAAGTCAAGGAGTAACCGCAGATAAGCTTCAGCTGCTGTCAGGGATATCTGGGGCTTTTTGACCTGGTGTCCTCACTGCTCTTATGGGTGTGAGTGGGTCTGGAAAGACTACTGTCATGGACGTTTTATCTGGAAGGAAGACTGGTGGATATATTGAAGGAGAAATTTATATATCTGGTTACCCTAAGAACCAAGAAACATTCGCAAGAATATCAGGTTACTGTGAACAAAATGACATCCACTCTCCACAGATCACTATAAGGGAGTCCCTGCTCTTTTCTGCTTTTCTGCGTCTTCCTAAGGAAGTCACGGACCAAGAAAAGAAGGTGATTTCTTGTTCTACTCACAGTATCAACTAACAACTGATGTCTGTAGATAGTGAGGCGTGATAACTCCCTGCAGTGTTTGCTGGGGTACACGTGTAGTTATTTTTTTGAGGTGAATTAAGTCCATTAAAGTTGGTTTACATCTGTTTAGATATTCGTGGATGAAGTTATGGAATTGGTTGAGCTTAACGGCCTCAAGGATGCTATTGTTGGTCTCCCTGGTGTGAATGGGCTCTCAACAGAACAAAGAAAGCGATTAACGGTCGCTGTAGAGCTTGTGGCAAACCCCTCGATCATCTTTATGGATGAACCAACTTCAGGTCTTGATGCAAGGGTTGCCGCAGTTGTTATGAGAACTGTTCGGAACACCGTCAATACTGGAAGAACTGTTGTCTGCACTATCCATCAACCAAGTATTGACATTTTTGAAGCTTTTGATGAGGTAATGCATTTGCATCTTGCGGTAATGTTATTGTCATATACACATATAGCAGTGCTTCAATCTTTGTGTTCTCATCCTGCAGCTGCTTTTAATGAAAAGAGGAGGCCAGATCATATACTCTGGGCCACTGGGTAGGAACTCACATAAAGTTGTTGAATACTTTGAGGTATGTGATATTTAAGCTACTTCCAATTATCACATAGCTTTTAGCTTTCTGTCATCTTGTGTTACCTTCAACAGATTTTGCAGTAATAAGGATACATTTGATCCTTCTCTATTTGAAATTCTTTCTTCTAAAATCTATATATCATGGTGTATTCTTTTAAATGTGTTTATCCTTTTATCAAACCAGGAAGTTCCTGGAATCCCAAAGATCAAAGAGGGGTGCAACCCTGCTACATGGATGTTGGATGTAACCTCAGCTTCTACAGAGGTTCAGTTGAAGATTGATTTTGCAGAACATTACAAGTCATCAACTATGCATCAGTAAGTGCAGCAGGACCCTTTTTTTTGGTGACGATGTATTTAGGCCTGCTTTTAAATTTTGAAAAAAAAAGAATACGTAAGAGAAACCGAATATCATTGATTTTATAAGGACCAGGACTTGAACCCATGGCTTCAAACCACCACAACCTTGTCTGCTGCCCCTGCTGCTTTGCGAAGGAGCAAGCATCCACTGTAGTGCTGGCAGTACTGCACCATCAACATGTGATCCGTACAGATTTGTGTTGATACACCACCCGCCTTGAAATATACTACAATTCATGCTTGAATAAACCTACCTCTTTCTTTTTGTTAAAGTAACCAGATCTTTTGGGTAATGTCTACTTTGTTGTATGACTGGCTATTTTCAGGCGGAACAAAGCATTAGTCAAAGAGCTGAGTAAGCCGCCTCCTGGTTCCAGTGACCTCTACTTCCCCACTCAATACTCGCAGAGCACCTTTGATCAGTTCAAATTCTGCCTCTGGAAGCAATGGTTGACTTACTGGAGAAGCCCTGATTACAACCATGTCAGAATGGTCTTTGCATTATTTACCGCCTTAATGTTGGGGATTATATTTTGGAGGGTTGGCAGTAAGATGTATGTTCTTACCATGCTAAGTTGTTAACTATTGCTTTGCAGTCATTTATTTTATTGTGAATATATATTGCAGGATCCTTAACTATTTGTTATTTGGTGCAGGAAGAGTTCAGCAGATCTTTTGATCATCGTCGGATCAATGTATTTTGCTGTCGCATTTGTTGGCTTTGACAATTGTATAACTGCTCAACCTGTTATTTCTGTGGAAAGGACGGTCTTTTACAGGGAGCGTGCAGCTGGAATGTACTCAGCTATACCATATGCTTTCTCACAGGTCAGTATGAACTAGCAATTCAACTGAACTGAAAAAAATACATTGCAAGGTTATGCCAAGTATGATGTACATATTTAATATGTGGCATAAGGCAGAAACAAAATAATTTGAATTGATGTTCTATCTGATAGCATTTGAAACAGTAATCAGTTATTTTCTCTGTTCAGGTTGTTGTTGAGATACCATATGTGTTCGTGGTTGCTTCCATATTTGCCGCTGCGTTCTACGGTCTCTTTAATCTCTTCTCAGGGTTCATTGTTCCAAGATCGGTGAGTCACTGTCCTGCTTCTCTAAAATAACTTCAGCGACTTCAAAGCACTGTGCACTACAATCTCTGTGGATTAACTCAAATCATGTCTTGTTCAGAGAATCCCGGTGTGGTGGATTTGGTACTATTGGATTTGTCCAGTGGCATGGACAGTCTATGGACTGATTGTGTCGCAATATGGTGATGTGGAGGATTTCATCAAGGTGCCTGGGAAATCCGATCAGCAAGTCAAGACTTTCATCAAGGACTACTTTGGCTATGACCCGGACTTCATGGGTGTAGTGGCAGCAGTGTTGGCTGGCTTTACTGCCCTCTTTGCTTTTATGTATGTTTACTGCATAAAGAGATTTAATTTCCAACAGAGATAAAAGTACAGGCCTCAGTTTGTCGTGTGCATTGAGGGTGTATGTTCGATAAAATAAAAGAGTATCTAATGTTTCATTAGAGGGATACTTGTTAGTTCTAGGTTGCACCCAGCTATGTATCTTGTGGCTGATGCAAGGAACTTATAGAAGGCTGATTTTTTTCTGCACCATTTAAATGCTAGACTTGCATATGGAACCGTGATTCATGGATACCAACAATTTCCTCATGGTGTGATCTTTGTCACCAATGTATAGCTCAGTCGGTAGAGAGGCTCTTAGGCCCTGTTTGGATGGGCTTTTGGCTGCTTTTATTTAAAAGCCAAAAAGTCTAACCAAAGCTTTTGGAGTCAAGACTTTTTTAGAAGCGAACTTTTTTCATCAGTTCATTTTTGAAAGTACCTTGGCTTTGGCTTTTTCTGGACTTTCAAATTGGTGGAATAAAAGCTCTTCATAGTTGTTTCAAGAGAGATAAAGATAAAATGTATATTTTATACTTGTTTAACCAAACAACCTTGCTTTTCTACAATATGTTTACTGCATTTTCCATAGAGATTTAATTTCCAACCACAGACAACTCAATTAAACAGGGCCTTAACCTTGTGGTCGTGGGTTCGAGCCCCACGGTGGGTGGATTTTTCATTTTATTATATGTTTTTCTTCTTTTTGATTTTTTCAGAGAATTGGAAATACTTGCGCCACATAAATGCATAATAATCACACTTACAGCTTTCTTACTTACCTCGTTGTCCAAATGGATTTATTTATGCATCATGACTCCTGTAGATTTATTTAGGCTGCGTTCCGTTCGGGTTACGGATTGGTGTCCTGGAATCATTTTAATCAGGATTGCTAGTGTAACCTATATAGCCATTGTTCATCATGAACAATTCCTACCCAGATTTACCCCTAACCGATCGAGCCCTTAGGCATATTTCTTTTGCACCTTTTTCCCTCTTTCGTAGAAAAAGTAAAGGCATGGCGCCACAGTATCATTCTCAACTATTGAATAAAAAATCAAAATCATTCTAAACTAGTCAACTTTCTTACTTTACCTCTTTGAGCAAACAGAGACCTACATATGGTAAACACATTACGACTCCTCCATGGATATATAATATTCTGTTATCAAATCTTGTGTTTTAATCAATTAAATGGGGAGTTTCTCCACAAATTGAGCATAGTTTGATGAAGTGAGCCTAGCTCAACTGATTGGACGAGAGGTGTTGGGGTTATGATCCCCGGGTGTCTCAAGGCATCGACTAGCCAGCAGACCGCACGGCCCACGATACCAAAGCCAAGCTTGAGCGCGAATGACCGAGACCCAACTAGGCTAAGCGGACTCATCGAGGAGGGGTCGGTCATGACCCTCCCTTCTCGCTTTCTTAGCCGCACACTATCATTCCACGACTTCGCCGGCTCGACCACGGGGGGAGAAAGATGGCCTACTACTCTAACAAGAGCAGCACGCCGATCGACCCCGCAGGACCGAGGGGACAACGATCACCTCGGTCCCGGACAGACGCCATCCTCGCGCACCGCGCTAAGACAACACCGCCAAACGGTGGCGACCGGAGGACCACCGTCCAAACATGGCCCGACAAGTACGATCCCACCCACTACGGGATGGGATCCACGACGATATTGACTTAGAGGCCATCAAACCCAACGCAGCCACGCCCGAGCTCGTGGATCGTGGCCACCAACTCCACAAGCAACCATATCCATTCGGTTACCTACTCTCGTAAGACGCCCCCGGACGTTCAGGAGGTGATGACGAAGACCAGACGAGGCCACGTCGCGCAGGACTGCTGGCAAAATATCACCATGCCCATAGTGCCGCCATGACTGGCACTGTGGCACCACGTCACTCCATGTCGCGACGTGAGCACAAGACCATGACGACAGCCACGCCAAGACGTGCACCATAAGACGGCGTTACTTGCAAGCCAAGTTAGCTAGGACACCTCCCTCAGGCTCACGACCCTTCGATCGGGAGAACCTCCTTCTTTGTACGAAACCTGGCTCCAGACTCTATATAAAGGCAGCCAGGGCGCCCCTCCGAGGGGACATCTCCATTCTGATCGGGCATCGGGGACGCTCTGAAGAACCGCCAGGTCCTCATCCTCATCCTAAGCGTCCTCATCGTCATTATCATCCAATGGCGAGACCCCACGCTCTGCACACCTCAGCTTTCCAGTCTGCAGCGCTTTTCTCCTTTGGTAATGCCTTCTTCCTTCTCGCGGCGCTGGCTTTCTGTGTTGCGGAAGATGAAACTAGGAGACGAATGAAGGCACAGGCTACAAGAACAAGACGAATAAGATTGACGACCCCGAATGAAAGAAAGACATGAAGAGAAAAGAGGACTCACTAGATTTGGTTGATTCGTGGCCGAGAATGCCTCCACGGCGTTCCTGACCGCGACAACGATTGCGGGAGTGACCAACCCAGCGACCCGCTTCATGACCTCACCGGCCTCGAGCATTTCCATGGTCTCTCGGCTCGAATCCTCGATCCTGGCATAGTCGCACAGCAAGCGCGCACGCCGCCTTAGAGGATGAACCCGTCGCTCGACCATGGTCCTCAGGACCGTGACGCCGTTCAGACCGACCACCACTCGGCCTTCAAGGAACTTCTGGATCTCCAGCCTTTCTTGACCTTTCTCTGCTATTGGAATGGACTCCAAATTTGAAAAATTTTTGAAGGGGCGGCGAATCATCAGATGATAACCAATTCCCGTGCGGTACCAAGATCGAACTCCTCAACAGCAGACATGGGTAGCTACGGGACGATCCATGGCGCATTTGGATGTTCATCCTGCCCACGGGGGTGAGCACGCCGCCATCGGAACCGTGCGCCTTGTGGGTCTTGACCTCAAAAACTCATCGGAACATATCCTTGTTGGGCTCAATCCCCAAGAAGGCCTCGCAGACGACTACAAAGCTTGGCAACTGCAACACCACATTAGGAGGAAGATGTTGTAGCTGGACACCATATTCACGAAGGAAACCATGGAAGAAATCCGACGCCGGAACCGTGAATCCGCGCTCGTGGAAGTCGGTGAACGACACCACCTCCCTGGGCTCTAGGAATGGAAGGACATCTCCAGCGGCAAGCCTCCACCTAGTGACCTTCTTTGGCAGTAGGAGACCCTTCTCCACCAGCCGCTGCAGCTTCGCTTCTGTCACCTCTAAAGGTACCCGCTCAACCGTTTCGTAGCGTAGGGGGAGGCAAGGAGGCGGTGGCAAAACTAGTGGGGAGCGATGACTACACCGCGCGACGGTGGGAGGCGGCACGCGTGAAAGGTCCTAAGATGGCTAGAGGGGGGTGAATAGCCTATTTGAAATTCTACAAATCAACTAGAGCAATTTGATTAGTAAGACAAATAGCAAAATACAAACTTGCTCTAGCTCTACGAGGGTTGCAAGCCACCTATCCAACAATTCTAGTTGCAATGATTACTAGACACACAACTTGCTATGATACTACTCACTAAGAGCTCTCAATCTTGCTACACTAAAGAGCTCCACTAGATGAACTTAAATAACAAATCAAGCTCTCAATTCTAATTATACTAAAGAGCTTGTCACCACTAGTTTGCAAGAATATAAAAGTACTAAAGAGCTTGTCACCACTAGTTTGCAAGAATATAAAAGAGTGAGTAGGGTGATTATACCGCCGTGTAGAGGGATGAACCAATCACAAGATGAATATGAAATCAATCACCGAGAGAATGTCAAATGGCAAGAGACAACCGATTTTCTCCCGAGGTTCACGTGCTTGCCAACACGCTACGTCCCCGTTGTGTCGACCAACACTTGGTGGTTCGGTGGCTAAGAGGTGTTGCACAAACCTCGTCCACACGATTGGACACCGCAAGAACCTACCTACAAGTGAGGTAACTCAATGACACGAGCAATCCACTAGAGTTACCTTTCGGCGCTCCGTCGGGGAAGGTACAAATCCCCTCACAATCACCGGAGATGGCCATGAACAATCACCAACTCGTGCCAATCCTCCACCGTTGCACCAAGCCATCTAGGTGGTGGCAACCACCAAGAGCAACAAGCAAAATCCACAGCAAAACACGAATACCAAGTGCATCTAGATGCAATCACTCAAGCAATGCACTTGGATTCTCTCCCAATCTCACAATGATGATGAATCAATGATGGAGATGAGTGGGAGGGCTTTGGCTAAGCTCACAAGGTTGCTATATCAATGAAAATGGCCAAGAGAGTGAGCTTGAGCCGGCCATGGGGCTTAAATAGAAGCCCCCATGGAATAGAGCCGTTGGGCTCCTCACTGCACTGAACACGGGCCGACCGAGCGCTCCGGTCATATTGACCGGACGCTGGACCTCAGCGTCCGGTCGTGCGATGTGTGCCACGTGTCATTGGCTTCAAACGCCGATCGCCCGATCTCAACGGTCAAGTGATGACCGGATGCGTAAGTTAGAAAGTGACCGGACGCTGGACCTCAGCGTCCGGTCGTTTCCAGTAAGGTTCCAAACACGACATTTCATGACCGGACGCATCCGATCATGCTCGACCGGACACACCCCGCGTCCGGTCATTCAACGTTTCCTCTGTGCGCCTCACGTCAGCGTACGTCAACACTGACCGGACACACCTACTAGCGTCCGGTCACTTTTAGTGCCAGCGTCCGGTCGAAGACCGAAACACGCGCTCACTGCTGCTACTGACCGAACGCGCCGGTCCAACTGAGACCAGCGTCCGGTCACTTACAGTGACCTTCGTCTTCTCTGTCTAGGGCGCCGGTGGCACCGTCGGACTGTCCGCACTCTACGGGCGGACACTCCGCTGGTGAAGTTTCCTACCCTTGCTCAAATGTACTAACCCCCAAGTGTATCACCTTATGCACATGTGTTAGCATACTTTCACAAACATTTTCAAGGGTGTTAGCATTCCACTAGATCCTAAATGCATATGCAATAAGTTAGAGCATCTAGTGGCACTTTGATAACCCTATTTCAATACGAGTTT